ACCCATCCATCCATCCATCCCGTTGCATTTCAGACTCCTTTGTAGCAAACCACAACTCACTCCTAATGAATAATCCAAAACATAATTTTATACGTAAATATTAGGCTTCAACATCACAGTTCATCGTATTCTGTTGTGCGGAGAGGCGTGTCAGAAATGAAAACACATGTGCGCCTGAAAACAACACCGTCCAGCTGCTTTCTACATTTTCAACAACATCACTTCTGTTATGATGTATCAGTGGTGAGTCATATCATGTGAGAACATTCGCGTTTTTTAAGCAGAGGACCTGAAACATCTGTCCCCAGTATTTCCCCAGATTGAAAGAGTTAAACTGACATAATTCGGGGGTCCGCCCACCCTGTTTGCCGTTGGTTGCAGCGGGTCACTGAGTTGTTGTTTGGACTACCGTTGCGCATGGAGTGCTGTTACACTGAGGGGAAGAGCACACACACGGCCAGCGAGAAGAAGAAGAGACACGGCGAGTTATCACACAGACGTTGCAGGATCTGCACTGCACATTTATGGCAGAGAGAGAGAGAGAGGGAGTGTGTGTGTGTGTGTGTGTGTGTGCGAGAGAGAGAGAGAGAGAGAGAGAGAGAGAGAGAGAGAGCACGTGTCTAGCAACATCTCAGGCAAACCTTGAACAAAGAGCGTTCGTGTTTCCACCTCAGACGCCACTGTCCTCATGATGCCACGCCTGGCGGCAAAGATGAAATCTGGAACAACAACAACAGCCACAACAGCCGCAGCTAGAAGAATAATAACAGTAATATTAATAAAACTAACACAATGTAGCTTGAATTGTAGAACTGATACAAAAATACATTTAGTTAATTAGCTAATTAGTAACACTCCTTGTCACACTTTTTACCCCCAGTGAATATTTTCACAAAAAAAATAATAATAATAATAATAAATAAATAATAATAATATTATTATTCAAATTTTCAGGGTGGGTTTATTCGTGAAAATCAGTTAGTAATCTACTTATTTATACAACGAAAGAGCTTGGACATAAAAATCTATCTATCTTTGAAAAATGCATGTGAATACAAAAAATAAGCATTTAATTCATTTAACGTGTGTTCATTTTCATGTAACGGATGTGTTGACCTTGAAGTAGGGCATCTAATCACACTATATGGGGTAAGTTGTTACAGGTTAAACTTATTAAATATGATTTACAAGCGAGCTGGGGTTAGGTAACAGTTCAAACACTAATAAAAATTTGGTCAACAGAAGTTATAATTAACACATGCTTAAAATTGCAACACTTACAGTGTGTGTGTGGATGATGATATGCAGTTTTAGATTTATAAATGTATGCAATGCATCAGCTGTGATAGTGACAACATGAGACTGTAGTGTAGTTTGCAAAATATTGCAGCTGGTTTGATTTACATGCATATTGACTAGACAAAATCACAGAATGTCATTTCTTTACCATAAAAAGCACGAATATACTCGACTAATTTCTTATGAAAGATGCTTAAGAAATTCTTCTCATGGCAAATATAGAGGCGATCAGCTCTCTCATCCTTTGCATATTCAGTTTTCTATAGTGTTTTTAATTGACCAGTCAAACGGTTCGGCACAGTCGATCAGATGGCAACCCTATGAGATGTACAGGACGGGTCTTTCTCACACATTCTGGATCAGAGCCAGCACCTTAGTGACAGTCAGTATGTCCAGAAGGTCAGTTACCTCCATTAATGGTGTCTACTGGGAGCCCAAGGCCTAAATCAATATCAACTATGGATAACAGATCATGTTTCCTGGCCTGTCTGTGGGTCTTTTGTTTATAAAGTCCCTCTTTTGTCTTTCAACTCAGAACCTGCGTGTCTAGTCGTTGGAAATGTCTTGTGCTGAAGATTCTCTCTCCTCGCAGAAGCAATATGTTTGCATATACTCATGTTGTACTTACTACACCCACATACTGTAAATGATGACCTAATATGACATCATCCAGCAGAGCATTTGTCAGTCCGCATGCCATGCCGTAATGTGGTGTCATATAACAATGAAATGAATCAGTCAGCATTAATACCTCAAACCTAATACATAGGCTAACAGAATATATTGAAATTATTTTTTTTCTTGAATTTCTTGACAAAACTGTAATTTCAATAAGATAAAAATTATGATTTCTTATTATATTATCAATTTAGAGAAGATGCTGAAATTCTGATTGCATTATTCATTTTCATTAATTTTTTGTTGTTGTTGTTGTTGTTGTTGAGTATATTAAAAAGTAATAATGCAAGCATGTGGAATAAGAATTTCAGCATCCGGTCTGATATTACATTGTATAAATTTAGTATTAATGAATCAATCACACTTATATATTTGATTTTTGCTTATATATTTGTAAATAATTATAATAATAAATAACAATGAATAATAGTATATAATAATGATAAAATATGTGTTCTAACTCCATTTATGCCTTTTTATCTTCTATATTGCAATTACTTATTTTATCATTTATATTTCAAGAGATATTAGTATGCACTCAGGTCTTCCTGCTATTGAACACTATGACTGACCCTTCCCCCTCTGCTCTCTCTCTCACACACACACACACACACACACACACACACACACACACACTCGGGTCTTTACATTGAGTGTAAATGCTTCTCTGAGCTGGGAATATGAGTCAGGTGAGTATGAGCTCATCTCTTTTTCCTCTGCTATGAGGTAATGTATCTCTACGGGACTCTTTCTCCTCTGTGAGCCAATCATTAGAGGTGCTTCACCACTGACACACCCCAGTGATGATTCAGATTCTCACTGTCACATGATGCTCACACCCTCAGGTGATGGAAAGCACTGCCTGCTGCAATACAATAATTATTTATGGTCCATTCTTAAAAAAAATTAAGGTTGAATTAAGACATTATTATTTTGTATTATTATTATTAAAACTAATCTTTAAGCAGCCTTTAGATGATTTTTTTTTAAGATTGCAAGAAACTGTCAAGTAAATTGTCAAGTGTGTCCAAACGTTTGACTAGTAGTGTAGCCTTCAAAGAAATTATTTTTGTCACACTTTCAAGGTTAATGTCGTAGGGTGGCTTTTTTTTCGTATACAATTTGTTTTGTTAAATGTGATCACTTTTATCTAAGTTAAAATATTCACACATAAATATGTGTGTCAAAAAATATAAAATCTAATTATTTGATTTACTTTAATTTTAAAACCACATTTTCGTTCTTAGCAATGCACCTTTAACTGAAAGAAGTTGTGCTGTTGTACAGATAAGCGTCCACTTACTCCCTCTGGCGGCTGGAAACACAAACTGCAAATAACGCGCACTGCTAATTCAGCAGTTGATACTTGGCGACATATGATTTTGTCCATAAATTTTACTGACAGTAAAAAAAATTTTTTACTGACAGTAAAATTTATATACTGACATATTTAGTTGGTTTTTTTTTCTTCAAATTTCCCATTCATTTCAATGTGGGGTCATATTGACCCCAAAGAGTAGAAGTGTAAACATTTTTTTTTTTACATACCTTCAGAACAACCGAATTAAGCCCAGTTTGTGTGTGTGTGTGTGTGTGTGTGTGTGTGTGTGTGTGTGTGTATAGATAGATCATGTATGAAAAGTCACAAAATCTTATTCCACTGAGATGAAGGGAACCTTTTTTTATTAAAGGGTTAGTTCACCCAAAAATGAAAATTCTGTCAGTATTTACTCATCCTCATGGTGTTCCAAACTTCCAAACCCAATTGAGGGCTATGCATTTAAAATGAACTTGAAGTACTTATATATATATATATATATATATATATATATATATATAAGGATGTGCAAAAGAATTGATAAGCCAATTACAGATTGAATCGATAAATACAACATTTAAAATGATGAAAAAAAATAAAAAGATGCTTTTTAGAACAATTAAAGACAAGTCTATCCATCTATTCATTCATTCTGTAAGCAAAAAAAAAGTTCTTTTGTGTTTAGTTCTATTGTGTAATATCTTTTTGTCCATTCATTCTGTAAGCAAGAAAGAAAGAAAGTTTTTTTTAGTTCTAATGTGTAACAGCTTTTTCATAACATTCTCATTGTTATGTTATGAAAATATGCTGTAAGTTTTCCTTCTGGACTGGAGAGCCGGTGTTTTCCAGCCCCTGCTTTGACTTCTGGGAAATGTTATCAAACAGGTTGGGAGACACAAGAAACATGCAGGAATGTACATAAGAATGCATTTATTTTTAAACGGATGTATTTCCTTAAAACATTCAAGAGAATTACACACCCAGAAGGTGTCTTTATGAAGAAAAAAAACAGCAACTCGTTTTTTAAAACCATATTCATAACCATAATCAAATATGATTAAAGTTAGTATACAGATATATTAAAACATACTGTTTTTCTTCTATGTCTATTACAACAATATCTAGTAAACCAACTTCCTGTGTTCTTGAACTTAGATGAACATTATTTGTGACCAAACACACCCTCTAGTGGTCGAACTACAAACTGAAAGAAACTGCCGCTGTTTTAAAAGAAACATCTGAAACACGCATGAGATCTCCATCAAGTCTTCTGAGGCATGAAGAGCAGTAACAGTTTCTTCAAAGTGAATCTATAGTATGTGTTACGTGTATAAATAGCTTTATATTCATTTAGAAAACAAACTCCTTTCATTTCACTCAATTCAGTAAAATATAGGCCAACTGTATGTATTATAAAATATCATATGTGTATATTGTTTGATTATGATCAGTGTTGGAGAGTTGTGAGAGCAAAGAGTTGTGTTGTTTGAGATATTTTTTGATTAATAATTAGATTTTGCTGAACTGAGTGAAATGTAAGGAGTTTGTTTTCTAAATTTAGTAATAATAAACTCATTGCCAATCTTTTAAAAAGCTATTCCTACATTCCCTAAAAGCAAGTAAGCAAAATCCACCTTCTCCCTGCCTGAACAATCTGTCCTAAGATCTGCGCCATTGTTGGTCTGAATAAAACAAGTCTGTCCACCATTCTATGGACCGGGAGACCATATGGATTCATATTCATGGCTGCAAACACATGAACAGGGGTGATGTTGGGAGGGAGTCTCGCTCTGGGCACGATCAGGAGCTCTGCTAGGATTTTCCCCATCGCCCACACATCAGAGAACTGGTCTCTGGGTTTTCCTTGGAAAATCTCGGGAGCGGAGTAACACCAATTGCCTCCTTCTACGCCAAAGTAAAGGCCGTTCTTCTGAAATCTGGCGAGTCCCAAGTCAATTATGACGGCCCGATAAGTGCCGTGTTCCACCTGTGAATGAGACACACTGTAATTACTGAGCTGTGTTATCTGATATCTGAAGTCTATGATTTTTGATAAGAGTCACTCATGATGAGAAGATGCAACCATGCAGTAAAATGCACAGAAAAAACATTGAAGTTCATTCATAACTTTTCATATTGTGATACAGTCCAATCTTCAGAAAATACAACTTTTTTTAGAAAAAAAAACAACAACAACAACGATTAACGATTAATTTCCCCTTTCCAGTAATCAGAGATGAAAGATACAGATGAAAGATAAAATAAAATAAAATTGAGGGTGCATCCATCCATCTTTTAAATTTATAGATTTAGTCATCTCCAAGGTATCAGAAAGACACTGGCTTGCAAGTATTTTTTTTTTTGCTTTTCACAAATCTAGCAGATTAAATATTTTTAGAGCCGTATGTAAAATGTGTATTCCCTGTAGGAATGTCCATGACTTTTCCAGACTGTTCCAAGCCTTGAAATCACAATTTAAAAATGTTCCAGTTCCTCTCTTATGAATTCTCCGTTCCACCACTAGAGGTCCCTGTCATCTCATTTGTTCCCATAATTCATCAGCTCTTTGTAATTCATAGGAGAAACGAATAACTTGTTAAATATCATCTTTGCGAAATGATTATATCTTAAGGATCTCTTATCTTTCTTTTCTGTTCAGTATTCAGATTCGTGCCTTTCTGACTGTACATGATCATGCATTATAGATTATGTCATTTTTACACAATCAAAGCTAACAGCAACACTTACCAGTTTTTGAATGTTGATCCGCAGCTTGGCTGCAGATGCAACAGCAAACAAAACAATGAACTGCACAATATAGAAAATCATTATTTCCAATCACAAATGAATTAAGGACCTATCAGCCTGTGCCATGTTTCATGCCAGAACAAGGCTTTAAAGCAAATAGTCAGTAGAAAGAATCAACATCTAATTTAGATGAGGCATACAGCAGTCATCATTTTATTTCATTCGATATGAAACAGCACAGAAACATTTTCATTACATTATATTAAAACACATTTTTCTTATGTTTCAAACAGCATTAAAAATACATTTTCCTTATTTTTAAACAGCTTTTAATCGGTTAAAAATTGTTAAATACCATGAAAAGCTTGTCTTTGCAAAATGTCAGAGCGTAACAGATTTGTTTGCAGTTGTCTTGTCTTGTCTTGTGATGCATGGCATTAATTCACTTGATACTTCCAAGATTAATTTTCCTTTTTCCAGTCATTAGTGGTTAAAGTCCCCGTGAAATCAAAATTGAACCTATTTACTTTGTTAGCGCATATTACTAGTCTTGTGGTGAACAATTAATCCGTGCAAGTGAATATATATTAAAAAAATGTTTTACCTTAGTAATCTTTAATCAAAATCTGAAAAGTTACTTCCGGTCTGGAACGGTTTCTTTTTCTGATGACGTAGGTTTCACAGTTTGGGTGGGGAAACGCTTAACCCCTCAAACCGTTAGTTTGCTATGAGCGAGAGATGGAGAGGAGGAGCGCTAGAGTAAAACCCTGCCCTCTGTTCAATATTCCGTTTCACTTGGAAATACGTCACAGCACTGGAGAAAAATCGTTTGCAACTTCCGGTTCACGGGGACTTTAAAGGTAAGACATCATTTTCAGGAAATAATTTAACAGACATTTGAGGGTCCAACTTTTAAATTTTTTAGTCATCTCCAATAAAACTATAAACAGAAAAACAAAAACAAGCAATTTTCGCTTTCGTCCAGAGGTCGCTTTAAACGAAGAAGATTTTTCGGAAATGACAGATTTTTTTTATTCTCACCGCTGTCCAATGGGCTCTATGCACGGCGGTATTTCCGGTGAAGGATTAAGGATGCTCGATAACTTCCGCCGATCATAGAGTCCAATGCAATACCGAGAATTTATATTGAATTTTATACTCCATGGTTATACTAATGAAACGTTAGTCACAAAAACAGATAAAACAGATAAAATGTGTTTATGCTTCTTTTTAAAATTATATTAAATAAACATAACTATATATATAATTACATCTAAACGTATGTACGTTTCGTTTCAAAGACGGAAGGACAGTAAATTTTAAAGACTCTGCCATAATCCCGTTTTCCTCGGTTCTCCTCTGCTTAAATCTCCACAACCGGAAATGGATGAGCATCCTTGCGTCAAATGCGGAACTTATGCGTGCATATAGCCCATTGGTGGCGACTGACACCCCACAGCTCAACAACCTGCTCATCACCTTAATTTTCACTGCATTTGTAGTCAATGCCATATTATCCAGTAAACGCTAATAAACGAACAGAACGGAAGTTAACTTTGGGCCAGCTCATCACCATGGCAACGCGTCTGATGAAAGCGTCTATACGTGACGTTGTTTGCAACATAGATATCATAGAGACTAGATACCCTATTGGCCGCTGGAAAACGAGAAATCCGGCCGCCATCTTGAACCGGTCGCATTCCTTGTCTCGTTGCGTGGCAGCAGATAAGATGCCAGAGCACTGTGGAGCAGTTTCCTGCTCTAATCACCAGACCACCGAAAATAGGGCTTTTCACAAGTAAATCTTAACATTGCCGTACTATTGGTTGTATTTTGTGAATATTACCAGATAATCGAGAAGGAGCATTTGCTATTACTGTACTGAAATCGTTGTGAAATGCTGTTTACTGCATCAGTTGGTGTTCAGCCGGCATGGAGAGGTGGGGTAACTGTTAAAGTAGGCCTAATAATTACAAGAGCTTCTAGGTTGTCAGATACCTCTCCAACTTCTAGTTTTATTGATAGCCTATATCTTACCACGTGCGATTTGGCTATTGATATTACAGAAGTCCTGTGGTAAAATTACATTGACTTACTCCATCTACCCTTGTAAAGTTAATCCGATAGGGCTTTAGTCTCGACATTTTCCCCTCCTACATACAATAAAAAAATGTATAGGCTTAATGTTGTCCGAATTTAATTTTTAGAAATGAACGTTACTGATGCAAACACGTTGAAAAGCTTCTTCTCAATTTTTATTACAGGTGGCTGCGTTCGGTGTGTGTGTGTGTGTGTGTGCGCGCGTGTGTGTGTGTGTGTCTGTTCGTGTGTATGTATGTGCGTGTTTCTTCAACTTATTAAAATATCTTACTTTACTGCTACTATCTGTTTCTGCTTCTTTATTATATTTATAGTGGGTGATTTATAAAATACATTATATCCTTCATCACATATTGTGTCTGGTCACTTTATATCTTATATCAGAATATTACTGTTAACCTACAATGGATATTAAAATACGCCGAACCATGTGTCCTGTATCATAGCTACATGAATGACCTTTGCAGCAAAAAAAAAAAAAAAAAAAAAAAACGCGTGAAAATCAGTTCAGTATTCAGTGAGATATATGATTAATTTAATGCGCTGACAGCTCATTTCACCTGCCATTCAGATTACACTGAGAGGAGCGGATGACCGGTTTAAGATGGCGGCTCCAATTCTCGTCCGTGCCAATAGGCAGTAGCGGTCGATAGGGCATCTACCTATATGATGTCTATGGTTTGCAAGCCGTTTTGTTGACGTCTTTCTGTGGTTGAAACACTGATTGAGAGATTACGGATTTCGGTAAGTTGGGCGGCTGTATCTTTCAACATATTTTCTGATGTTCATTCGTGTTTATTTCGTTCTGTAACGTAGTAAAGTCAGAGGATGTAGGCCTACAGTGATCTCTCGCGCCACATTAAAGAGCGCCAAACTACTGAAACGAGACTTCCTTAGAGTTCCATGACGCATGCGCGAGAACTGAACTGAAGTAGTTGAAGGAGATCGCAATTCTCGCGCATGCGTCGTGGAAATCTAAGGAAGTCTCGTTTCAGGCCAACAAGGAAGAAAATAAATAGTCGTTATTTTTGTTTGTTTTTTCGCACAAAAAGTATTTTCGTCGCTTGATAAACTTATAGTTGAGCCACGGTAGTCACTTGGGATATTTGAACATTTTCTTCATTGACTTTCTGGGCCGTCAAGAGGCAGTCCTTTAGGAGCCAATGTGGTAGTTATACAGCTCTCAAATTTAATCAAAAATATCTTCATTTGTGTTCCGAAGACGAACGAAGGTCTTACGGGGTTGGTACAGCATGGGGGTGAGTAATTAATGACTTAATTTTCATTTTTGGGTGAACTAACACTTTAAGTGTTTGATCTAAGTGAGGTTTTTTGACCTTTGTGAGGTTTTCCATATATACAACGCATTCTCACCCCAAGGCGTCACCTTTGACCATGCTTCAATATTTGACGTTTTAGGCGCCCTTTAGGCGCTAAAGGAAAGCGTCAGTTAGAGGACGCGGTTAGGTTTAGGTGTGGGGTGGGGGTAGGGTACACGCGATCCTAGGGCGTCATCTTACTAACGCTAAAGGGCGCCTAAAGCGTCAGATATTGAAGCATGTCCAAATGCTTCCCAAGGCGTCAGTTAAGTGACGCCTTGGGGGTGAGAATGGGCTGATATATACGTATTCCCTTTTTTTCTTTTTTTTTCTGTTCTATGTTGTGGTGCATTAAAAACATCATGAAAAGATAAGGGGGAAATTATTGCAGTAGTGATGATAGTGACACTTAATTACAATGCAGCATTGACAACAGTAATATTGATGATTCTAATAGATCGATAATAATTTTCCATTAATTAATAATATTTAATATTAGGGGAAAAAATTAAAGGGATACTCCACCGGGTTTTCATACTAAACTATGTTATTCCCTTAACTAAGACGAGCTGATGCATACCTCTCTCGTCTCAGTGCGTGCACTCTATCGCTCTGTATTGCCGCAAAACTATGTTAGCACTTAGCTTAGCCCAGTGCATTACATATGGGCCCAAAAGAGAGGCGACCAAACACTTCCTCGTTTTCCCTATTTAAACACAGTTACTCGATTAGTGTAACTCGACCTAGGCTGGTGACACAAAATAAAACATTGTGTTTTTCTAAGCGTTTAAAATTGATACACTAATCGAGTAACTGTGTTTAAATAGGGAAAACGAGGAAGTGTTTGGTCGCCTCTCTTTTGGGCCCATATTTAATGCACTGGGCTAAGCTAAGTGCTAACATAGTTTTGCGGCAATACAGAGCGATAGAGTGCACGCACTGAGACGAGAGAGGTATGCATCAGCTCGTCTTAATTAAGGGAATAACATAGTTTAGTATGAAAACCCGGTGGAGTATCCCTTTAAGGCATTATGTAGCCAAATGGATTTTATGTTAATAGTTATGCGATCGAATTTGTATACTTTAATGGCAATGTCAACACATTATGGACTTTCATCTCAATTTACTGTCAAAAGAAAACCACAGAGAATACACAGCATTTCTCTTATCAACCCTTACATGCATTAAGTTGATGTCATGACAATAACCATAACAAATTACAGTATAGTAAAGCACATAGTCAGTAGACAGAATTAACATCTAATTTAGATAAAGCATACAGCAGTCATCATCATTTTATGTATAGGATATTCTATACTTCATAAGATATGAAAGACAACAGTACAGAAAGACATTTTCATTACATTAAAAACACATTTTCCTTATTTTCAAGCAGCCTTTAATCAGTCAATTCCTCTCTAATTTCTTGTAATTAATAACATTTTAATACGGTTCTTAACCCTCAGGTGCTCTTCATTTCGGAGTCACACTTGTTATCTTCCCGGTCAAAAGTGACCGGACACCTAAAAATGAAACTTTCTCCATCCCAGTAAAACCAATGCAATTTATTTTTGTTCTATAATATTTATTCTTTTTAATTTAGTATTTTGAGACAATTTAAATGAATTTATTAATATTTATGCAATATTTATGGTTTATTTT